CCTTACGATGAAGGGATTTGTGACATGGAGGGGGAGGACAGGATAGTACTACAGTTAGAGTGCGGAGGAAGACTCAAAGGCTCTACCTGCAGGCCGGATTCCCATGTGCTGCTGACCATCCAATACAAAGCTTCCCATCGGCTGACCCTCTGGACTATACGCTGCTCCTTGGCTCACTGAAGGATCAAGAAGAAAACCTGATTGTAGTCAATCGTGGACACAGAGGAGAAAGAAGAGAAGACATACCAAACAATCAGCAATTGTTCCAGTTTCAGCACTGAAACACTATATACAATATCTTGGCTGTCACTTTAAACACAGGTTGTGCTTTTTATGAGCTGATTATGTTACCAGGACTATAGAATAAAAATGCTATAGGGGGGCCTAATAAACAAGTTTGTCAAGTCAGTTCACTCGCTTAGGATCTGCTTCTTTACTTACCTTTAATGCAAAACAGTGGAAGAGTGCTGCAGTGCTATGTATTTTTTCTTAATGAAGTTAAGTACTTATTGTATTCCTCTCTAACTGCATGAAGTTGTGAATTTGGCATCTGCGATACAGGGTACTTGTGGTCAAACTTAATAAAATGTAAACTCTCTACTCTAGAATGAGCAGGGAAATTCTGGACATCACTTTCCCTATTTACATACACGCTTTATATTTGGTTTAATGTTTTGCATGGTTAGTTGAGTTAGTGTTTTCCCCCTTTTTCACCTGTTAATGAAAAAGAAATTTAACGCTATACGGGAAGAGTTTCCCAAAGGATTAATAACCTTTTCAAAAACCTTTAAAGTGAAGCAGCAGGCGAAATCACCATCAAGTTAAAGCCCTTGTTAGTGACAACAGTCATCACCACATGGAGAACAGTTTTATCCCATAACTTCATGGCAGGAAACCACAACTCCCTAGTAAGCTAAGGAAATGCATATTACAAAGTAGAATGATTAACGCTGCACCAGTTGCTGTTCAAAGAGTTACGTATTATGAGCGCTTTAATAGAAACTTTAAAAAAGGTATTGTTACAAAAATCATATGTTTTCCTGGGAATATATTTGGTGCATTCTTAAACAAAAGTAATAATCTTTTAATTTTTTTTTTTTTTTTGCCAGTATGGTACCACGTCACATTAGTAGCATATTGTGAATAGTCAAAGCAAATGAATGGATACAATGAGTTTTACAGCTAGCCTTCCAGAAGTGAAAGCCATGCATACACCAAGGAGTTGTGGGTAGCAAGAAAATGAGATTGTCCTGCTGATTGGATGCAGACAAGCAATGAGTAATTCAAGAGCTCACAGTCAAACAAACTGCTTGTGGCACTAGTACTTGTACCCAATTACCAGTTCAGAGAGAAAATAAAAAGCAGTTTCAGTACAGTCAGGGTGGGAAATCTCCAATTAGCACCAATTAGCGAAGTTGCTTCCTACAGCGGAATTCTGGGGCCATAAGAAGAAATAATCTCCCAGAATGCCTGGTTGAGGCATTTATTTACCAGGTGATGGGACTCCTGAAGAATAACTTGATGAGGATTTGCGCCTGTGGGACTTGAATACAGATACTACTTGGAACTTGCCTGCTCGATTTGACTGGTCAATCATAGGCTGTACTATTCTTCTTCTGGCATTAATAAACCTGAAACAGAATACAAAGAATAGCAGTCCTTTCATCAGCTTGCTTCTGTGTTTTGAGAACACCTTTGCTTTAAGTCTGACAGGATTGTAGCACGGTTACAGCAACGCCTTTTGTTTTGTATGTTTTGCTTCTAGAGTATAATTTCACTTCAAGGGATTTTCCTCTAAGTGCTCAGAAATTATAGCTGGTAACATGCTTATCTTACTAGCCAGCTTAAAGCTGGATTTGCCAGAAGGCTCTGAACAAGTAAATGGGAATGAAAACTTGTGTTAAAAGACAATTGTTTCTTTAACTTCTCAGAGCAGCTTGGAACCTGGTTAAAGTTCACAGGCTAGGAGACTTTTCCCCCTCCCTCCCCTCCATCATAGGGATTCAGCTACCCTTGCAGCTGGCCATAAATGAGGACCAGGCTTTGCCACTCTGTGCTTTCACAAGGTATTGTTAGGTCAGCAAAGCCATCAATTAGGCTGTCTGAAGTTTTATCACCAGCACAGCAGCAATAAGTGCTGGCCCAGAAAGACTTCTGCTCTTCTGCAACTCCTGCAGTTTGAGCCTGTAAAGTCAGGGGTCGCGGGGAGGTCAGTGCCAGCTGGGGGCGACCTCTGCGGCCGCCGGGGGACACCCCGAGCGCAGCACAAGGCAACTGCCAGCCATAAACCCAGGCACCTTTCAACTCGTTAGAAACAGGGAGTCACAGGTACATGTGTTTAATATTAGGCCCAAAATAACTTTTTCTCAAATCAGGTACTACAGCCGCAGTGGTTGCGGAGGCTTTTGAACGCTGGTAAAGGCAGTTAGCTGGCTACAGAGCCTGGATTTAATTTGGCGGGTAATCCAAAAATAAGTGCTTGCATATTTCTTATTAACTTAATGCACAACAATCCACACCAGCACGTACCCAGTCAAATTAATTTCACTAAAATAATTTAAAAACTTACTTATTCACACAGTTTCTTTCAAAGCAGGGCAATTTTCTATCACTCACAAGCCACGCTTGTTTTTGTCCCCCTTCTTTGTGTTTGAGAACACTTTAGAGCTTATGCACAGGTTTTGTACGCTATTTCACAGTTCAGACTTTAGTCTAGTGACCCTTAAGGAGTGCTAATGAAGTTGAATACTAGTGTTTAATCCTCTTCAGAAAAACTAACATGCCCATCATCCAAAACAGCCTCCAATAATTGCCATTGGGCCCGATCCAAAGCCCAGTGAAGTCTTTCAGTCAGTAGCCGAACACCTAAGTTCATCAGCTCATTTGCTAAATTGCTAACCTTTACACTGTATAAATGGTACAAGCCGTGTTGTGGTGCTCTCTCCCCCCCCGGTTAAATTCCATCAGATAATAAAAGATGGTACATCTTCCATTACATCTGCTGTAATCACAGTTGTGGAAATTTCATTAGACAGATGCATAAATACTACAAGTAACACTAAAGGGCTCTTTTGCATCTCTCTGTTTACATCCCAGAGACATTCTTTATTCTTTAAGGAAAGTATAATTCAGTTGTCAGAAATGTCATCCTGCCTCAGAATTAGTCATGACTTCAGGTATTAAAAATAAAAACCCAGACGCAGTCAATGTACTTGTTTATTCCCCTATGACTGCAGTGCAGCGAAGGCACTTCTTTCTTTAACACCGTGATTTCTAGACGTGTTGCTGTCCTCAAAGACAAAGGTCTCCAACAGGACTTAATGTGCTTAGCTGCTTTCCAGTAACGTTACCACGCTGACCAAATGGAGTCTGACCCAAGCCTTCTCTATCCAGCATGCCTTTTATCAGCTAAAGTTAAGGCCAATAGAGATTAACAGGAAAGCCTGATAAGACTGTTTTCTCTTCCCCTATGAGCTTCTAATGGTGTATACAGATGGCAAGGTTTTAAAGAATGGAATGAACGCTTATTTAGGCCTGTAAAAAATCACAGACAACAGAACCTCCCCCACGTTTTGTCCTACGAACCTGTTTTCTTCAATCAGGCCACTCTTCAGGAAAACCAAATTGCTTTTTCGTTTTTATTTAAACCCCGACCACTTTTATTATTTACATCTGGTGGTCCCCTTATTTATGTCCCTTTCCACTTCCCTGCAAACACACCCTCACTCACAGGGCTGCAGAGCATTATGGGCCTTGGCTCTCAGCAGGAGAACTCGACACTGTCTTCAAACAAATAATTAAGGGGAAGGTTAAAGGTTCACCCAGAGGTCATATCTTTGGATACTCCTCAGAAAGTTTACATTAGTAAGAAATGGGTGCCCTCTGAAGTGTTTTTTCAATGGGTTCGCACAACAAGGCAGAACATTAAGAAAATTCTAAGTCCTGAAAGGTTTCAGGTGACAACTGCTTTGCATTTAGGAGCACACAAATGTGGATACACCATCCTAGTGTTACATATTCAACAGCCACCACAGCAAAAAGCTTTTTGGGGTGGATTTTGAAAATCCAGCCTCACCCAGCCATTCACTTCCAAAAGAACCTGGCCTTATTTTATTCCACCAACATGAACAATTCCAGCTTTTCAGTGTGAACTCCTGAGACGATTCACTAGCTATTTTGGAGATGGGAACTGAAGCCTTCATAGTGAGTCCCCTACATCTTTACTTTCTTACAGAAAAAGCAGTGATCACAATGATCACATTTATCCACTAAACTTTAGGAAAAATTCCATTTGGTTTTGATTGCTGATTTAATTATGTTTACTATGTCTTCTTCTGCTATTTTGCACATGTGCATAATTGCAGGTGCAAATGATGCCTTGTAGATAGACAATACTTTGTCTGAAGAGAAGATACATTGTCATATACTTAGATTTTCAAAGGAGCACAGAGGCTTTAGGCGTCCAAATCCTTTTGGAATTCCATTCCTATGGTTCCTCTGAAAAATCCTGGTCATAGATGGCATCAACTGTACCCATCAATAAGTATGTCTGAAAAATTACATTTGGAATGATTTGTATTTGCAAAACTGCAGGTGCAAAGCACACACACAATTCAGGTCAAGCTAAAAATCAGATGCAAGATTCATTAGCAGTAGCTACATCACATAAAACATCAGCACAGTTGGTAGACAAGAGCATAGAACATAGTGTTTGTGGTTTATTATTTATTCTTTATACTGCTCCATAAATATGCACAGTGCGTTAACAGACACATAGAAACTATAGTCCGTGCCCTAGCCTTTACCTTTTTGGGGGGCTTTTTTAAATACCTCAGGCAGCCATCTTTAGGGACAAAGTAAAGCAAAATACAGGCTTTTGCGCAGCAGTTCAGTTTGTGCATTGCAGAAGCCCTAGGATACTATTTTGGCACAAATGTCTTCAAAAGGCATTGTGAAAGACAGGTGAAAAAAAGAGACCACCAGTGCCACTATTTCCAGCATTATTTGGAACCCTATAAAAGAAGAATTCACAGCTCTGTTCCTGACACTAATTGCTTACCTTGTTCATACCCTTCACCCAGAGGCCAAAGATTGAATGGCCTGAAAAGATGAGTAAAATCTATCAACAAGACAAGGATTTCTTTGCTATTCTTTTGTTAATAGTAATTCCTATTACTTAGATGATAACAGCATTTAGGGGACCCAGTGAAGCTCAGGGTCTTTCTTCACCTCATTGCTGCACAAACTCACTGTAAAGGACAGGACTTGTCCAAAAGAACTCCCAGTCTGAATAGATCCTAGGCAAAACCTGGGGAAAAGGAGACACCTTCTCCCTGTTTGCAAGAGGGAACTGAGACGGGGAAATTAAGTGACAAGGCCAAAGTTATACAAGAGATCCTTGGCAGAGCCACACACCGAACATAGATTTTCTCAGTCCTCCTTCAGCGCTCAGTACAATCTGCTATCCATATGCTATCTTTCCTTTGTTCCCCCAGATTAGCAGTCAGGCACACTGGCAGGGGAGTGCACAGAGCGCTTACGTTGCCACTGTTTCTGCCTTACCTGCTGTGGAGATAAAGAGGGGTCATCAGCCTCCAGGGCTGTGAGTTGATACCTTCACAAGCTCTGCATTCATATGGTACTTGGCCCTCATTCCAGAATGATAAATGAGGTGTGTAATGTTGAGAAATACATGTCACTGACATAGTACATTTAATGAAAATCTCACTTCCCGCATTTTGCAAATGACAGATTACCAACCTCACTTATTCAAATAATAAGCATTTGAAATGAAAGAAGGTATTTTGTATGTTGTACTTTTTAATTGCCACCTAAAGCCGTCACATACATTTTCTATAGTCAAGATCTTGTCCTTCTCACACAAGTAGTTCTGCCAACTTCAGTGGGACAATTTATGGAAGCAGAGCAAAGATTTGGTTCAAAATGCATGACAATTTCAACTTTCAAAAGAAGCTATTTGCCTTTCAAGCATTTTTATCTGCTTCCAGCAAAAAAACAGTAGAGTAGTAAAGGTACACTAGTGAATATGCAGTGTAGTCTGGTGATTTGGTAGCCTCAGTCCTAATTGGTCCTTACCATTGCTAATTAGCATGATAATATAATCTAAAGAGATGCATTTAATTGCATTTCTTCAAGTAGAGCCTTGGTTTTCTTTATCCAAAATAAACATGTATTCCGTATTTTATAGGAAGTCCTGTAATTAATCTTCTTTATATTTTTATCATATTTTATCTCAGGTCATATCATATGATGTTAAAGTCACATTTGCATAATACATTGTATTTTTATGATAAATAACATTCAGATAAAATTACAAAGAAATATTTAGGCAAAGTGCAAAAGAGAATAAACAGCAAATACGGATCTCTCAGTCTGGCACATTCAAAACCAATTTTGTTGTTTGCATTGTCTTTTTTGTGCATACTATGTGTTTCAAAATGCTATGACCTCTCCCTAAATTAATCTAAACAAGATCAGTTCTTGAAATAAACTATTAGTGGCTGTACTGATTGGTACTCAGAATTACAAACATCTCCAGCTTTACTCTAAGGTTATCATGGAAAATTCACACCAAGTACGTAAGGTCACAACAATCTGGTTTCTGGAGGAT